TCGCGGCGCGCCGCGTCCGCCACCAGCGCGGCCCACGTGCTCTCGGAGCTCCGAGAGCAGCCGCTGCTGAACGTCGAGCTGGGCTTCACCCCACACCAAGGCGTGGTGTCCTGGGAGCACACAAAGATCACCATCCCCCACATACAACTTAAGACTGTTGGGGCAAGTGTTGTTATCCATCCACACCCGGCCACCTTTGTCTCCCACAGTGCTGATCTTTACAATCGGCACCATGGACTCATTTAAGACCGAGTTTAACTTGAGGAATCATCTTTACTTGGACTGGAAGAATCCGATGAGCTATTAAGCTCTCTTTCACAGAAGTCCAGTGTGGGCAGGTCGGCAAGTAACAACAGAATCCAACTCGGGTCACCAAGATTGTCGCAGGGCAGCGCCTTAACCACTGCACTACCGCTCCCCAATGCAACACACGCACACAGCACACTGGTCCTCCCCCCTAGTCGACTTCGGGGAGACCCGGGACCGGTTCAGATTAATTGTCATTGGTGTTGGCCATGAACGGGAACCGAACTTGGGTCGCCGGGTTCGTAGCACAGCGTACGAACCACTGCGCCATACACGCGCACACCTGCGTGCCCACACACGTTTGCCCAAGCGTGCCTACCCGCACACTTGTCTCCGAGGTGGCTTCACCACGGCTCACACTGCAGTTGGGATGTGGTCTTTGTAAAATGTAATTAGGCCACATGAAGTGGAGGCAACCTTTGTAAATGAAGGCTCTCTACTGACAAATTATTCTGCTTATTTACCCAGGAAAACCACACCGAGTCTCAGGACTTGTTAAGGAGGGTCCTGCCAAGCTTTCACAGTCAGGGGCGATGTGTGCATTCCCAGTTGAGTAATTAGCAGGTAACCTATTATTTAGCATCAAAGTGTGTGGCCTATACCAGTTACATGTGTGATTTTTGTTTTAAGAAATTCTCTTATAGACCCTGGCTGAAGCCGAGTGGTGGGATTGTGCCAACCAATATTTCTCTGCCCGTAAATACGTTCGTGCGTAATTCCACAAAACGTCAGCTTACGAACGACGGTGTCTGCGATCGTGGCCAAGCACTGCACTTTTTCTGAACTTCAGCATAACTTCAAACGCCCAAAACCGAGCGAAAATTTCAGCTGGTGACAGTGGTAGGTGCCGGCATCCTCACCTGTCACCACCCGCAATTCACCCGCTACTCACCCATGCCTGAGGCGAGAAGCTCCCCACTTGGGTTGAAGTGATTCACCTGCACAGAACCAGGCATACACATTACAGCGTCACGCACAACAACAACCTCCATTCGCCACTAAGTGGCGGTGACGTCACCACGACACTTGTGCCAGGCTATGTGCACTTTAAGGCCACGTGAAATGTCAAATACCTGCTGGCAGGAGGTCACGGAACAGACCCAAGTGCCATGGGATGACTGAGATGCCTGGCCGATGCACCACCTGTGTCCCCTACTGTGCCAACGTGCTATGTTTTAGCCGCCCGGCACTCCACTCGTTCTTGTGAGCGTTGCTCTTCTGCCCTTCGTTGTGGCTGGAGGGCGACTGCCTCCAACTGCCCAGTAGCGTCCTTCACACGCCTCCTGCACAGAGGCAGATCTTGACACCGCTGGTACCAGTTATTGCTAAGTCCACTGAGCTCCATATCCTCGGACACCACATAATACTATCTCTTCTCTCGCCTGTGCCGTGTCCACTGAGCCCTCTCTGGGCATGCGGGATACTTCACCCAGCCATTATAGCCTTGCCTGCCTTAGGAGCTCACCGATGGGACTGTCCAGATCTTTCAAAGATTTGTGAGCTCTTCACACAATCCAGCCTGGTTAAACCCAGGATGGATCGTAGGCAGGCCAGCCTGAATGTTTCGAACCGATGAAGATGTTCCATTAGGGGGTTCACATTTTGCAAGCGTGGCCGATAAAACCCAAAGCTTCGTGTGGAGCGACAGATCAGGTCGCTTCTACACAGCGTTACGCAGCCGATGAAAAGATAATGCCGGTCGACTGATTCGAAGTGAGACCTCTGCTATCAAACCAGAGCTGATCATAAGCACACTGCTCAGGTATGGAATCCTTTTCACTCTCTAAACAACTACCCCACCAATGGAGAGTTGAGGGGGTGGAGTGTTTGATGACACAAAATACCCAGGCAGGTGCTTCGTTTTGGACGGTGCTGAGGGTAAGGCCCCACTTCTTAGTGGCACACTCCAGCTTCAGCAGCAGCACCTCCAACTCCTTCTCCGAGTGAGCAGCAATCACCAGATCATCAGCATACATAACATGGTTGACCAATAAGGGAGCCATCCCTCGACCGCACCCGAGCATTGATCAGCCTCCCGTTAAATCTGTACTAGATGGACATTCCTCCGGTAGAGCCATGGAAAGCTTCTCGAACTACGTGGTCGAAATTTTTGTTAAATAATGTGGGAGCCAGAGGACACGCGCGCACCGCGAGGCTGCTCCCCATCGGACGTCGCAGTCGCCCACTGTGCTCCCCCAGCCCCTCCGAGGAATTGTGCACCACGGGTGGATTCCGCGTGTGGAAGACACGTGCCGAGTTTGCCTGCGGGAACCGGGGCCCCGACACGACGCTCGGACGGCCGATGACGGGGAACACCCATGGCATGGTAATGGTGGTGCTCGCTGTGGCAGGGAACGCCTGGCTTGCCACGATAGCGCGCTCGGGAAAGCTGTCAAAAAGCCTGCGTGTTAAACCTACGCGTAAATGGTCGTTGCGATTATTACTCTCGTTATGGTCGTACGTTGCTCTGTACGGTACCTTACTGTGTACTCACGCACACACGCGCACTCACGCACACTCGCGTACTCACGCGCACTCACGCGTACTCACGCAACACACGCGTACTCACGCACACTCACGCGTACTCGCGCAACACACGCGTACTCGCGCAACACACGCGTACTCGCGCACACACGCGTACTCGCGCACACACGCGTACTCGCGCACACACGCGCACACACGCGCACTCACGCGCACTCACGCGCACTCGCGCGTACACACGCGCACTCGCGCGTACACACGCGCACTCGCGCAACACACGCGCACTCGCGCACACACGCGCACTCGCGCAACACACGCGCACTCACGCAACACACGCGCACTCACGCACACACACCCGTACTCACGCACACACGCGTACTCACGCACACACGCGCACTCACGCACACACACCCGTACTCGCGCAACACACGCGTACTCGCGCAACACACGCGTACTCGCGCACACACGCGTACACGCGCACACACGCGCACTCGCGCGCACACACGCGCACTCGCGCGCACACACGCGCACTCGCGCGCACACACGCGCACTCGCGCGCACACACGCGCACTCGCGCGCACACACGCGCACTCGCGCACACACACGCGCACTCGCGCACACACACGCGCACTCGCGCACACACACGCGCACTCGCGCACACACACGCGCACTCGCGCACACACGCGCGCACTCGCGCACACACGCGCGCACTCGCGCACACACGCGCGCACTCGCGCACACACGCGCGCACTCGCGCACACACGCGCGCACTCGCGCAACACACGCGCGCACTCGCGCACACACGCGCGTACTCGCGCACACACGCGCGTACTCGCGCACACACGCGCGTACTCGCGCACACACGCGCGTACTCGCGCACACACGCGCGCACTCGCGCACACACACGCGCACTCGCGCACACACACGCGTACTCGCGCACACACACGCGTACTCGCGCACACACACGCGTACTCGCGCACACACACGCGTACTCGCGCACACACACGCGTACTCGCGCACACACACGCGTACTCACGCACACACACGCGTACTCACGCGCACACGCGTACTCACGCGCACTCGCGCACACACGCGTACTCACGCACACACGCGTACTCACGCACACACGCGCACTCACGCACACACGCGTACTCACGCACACACGCGCACTCACGCACACACACGCACTCACGCACACACACGCACTCACGCACACACACGCGTACTCACGCACACACACGCGTACTCGCGCACACACGCGTACTCGCGCACACACACGTACTCGCGCACACACACGCGTACTCGCGCACACACACGCGTACTCGCGCACACACGCGTACTCGCGCACACACGCGTACTCACGCACACACGCGTACTCACGCACACACGCGTACTCACGCACACACACGCACTCACGCACACACACGCGTACTCGCGCACACACACGTACTCGCGCACACACGCGTACTCACGCACACACGCGTACTCACGCACACACACGCGTACTCACGCACACACACGTACTCGCGCACACACACGTACTCACGCACACTCACGCAACACAAGCGTACTCACGCAACACAAGCGTACTCACGCACACACACGCGTACTCACGCACACACACGTACTCACGCACACACACGCGTACTCACGCACACACGCGTACTCACGCACACACGCGTACTCACGCACACACACGCGTACTCACGCACACACGCGTACTCACGCACACACACGTACTCACGCTCGCAATGCCGGGGGAGAGGGGATCCTCGAGCCGGCACAGCAGCGCCCCGCTGTCGGTGTCGAACAGGTCGATGGAGCGGCTCTGCTCGACGGACGTCCCCGGCCGAACCAGATCCGGGTATCGGCCAATCACGGCCAGGTCGTACCTCGGGTGCCACGTCGCCTGCACGCCGCGCCGCACCATACCGTTACACCGGCAACCGCTCCGGCAGCCGTGCCATCGCTCCGGTATCGTGTGTGCCCGTGTCACCGACTCGGAGAGGTGAGGAGGAGGAGCTACAGACGAGCACGTGGTGTTCTGGCACTACCAACAACTGCCCAAGCTCTACCGCCCTCTACATATTAAGATGTTTTCAGTCAATTTGTGTTTATACGCGAGGGAGAAAACCCATACATTGCGAGGGGGCAACTTTATCCCATATACATTGAGGGAAAAAAGTATTTGATCCCCTGCTGATTTTGTACGTTTGCCCACTGACAAAGAAATGATCAGTCTATAATCTTAATGGTAGGTTTATTTGAACAGTGAGAGACAGAATAACAACAACAAAATCCAGAAAAACGCATGTCAAAAATGTTATAAATTGATTTGCATTTTAATGAGGGAAATAAGTATTTGACCCCTCTGCAAAACATGACTTAGTACTTGGTGGCAAAACCCTTGTTGGCAATCACAGAGGTCAGACGATTCTTGTAGTTGGCCACCAGGTGTGCACACATCTCAGGAGGAATTTTGTCCCACTCCTCTTTGCAGATCTTCTCCAAGTCATTAAGGTTTTGAGGCTGACGTTTGGCAACTCGAACCTTCAGCTCCCTCCACAGATTTTCTATGGGATTAAGGTCTGGAGACTGGCTAGGCCACTCCAGGACCTTAATGTGCTTCTTCTTGAGCCACTCCTTTGTTGCCTTGGCCGTGTGTTTTGGGTCATTGTCATGCTGGAATACCCATCCACGACCCATTTTCAATGCCCTGTCTGAGGGAAGGAGGTTCTCACCCAAGATTTGACGGTACATGGCCCCGTCCATCGTCCCTTTGATGCGGTGAAGTTGTCCTGTCCCCTTAGCAGAAAAACACCCCCAAAGCAAAATGTTTCCACCTCCATGTTTGACGGTGGGGATGGTGTTCTTGGGGTCATAGGCAGCATTCCTCCTCCAAACACGGCGAGTTGAGTTGATGCCAAAGAGCTCCATTTGTCTCATCTGACCACAATACTTTCACCCAGTTGTCCTCTGAATCATTCAGATGTTCATTGTCAAACTTCAGACGGGCATGTATATGTGCTTTCTTGAGCAGGGGGACCTTGCGGGCGCTGCAGGATTTCAGTCCTTCACGGCGTAGTGTGTTACCAACTGTTTTCTTGGTGACTATGGTCCCAGCTGCCTTGAGATCATTGACAAGATCCTCCCGTGTAGTTCTGGGCTGATTCCTCCCCGTTCTCATGATCAGTGCAACTCCACGAGGTGAGATCTTGCATGGAGCCCTATTTGCGAATAATCGCACCAACTGTTATCACCTTCTCACCAAGCTGCTTGGCGATGGTCTTGTAGCCAATCCCTGCCTTGTGTAGGTCTACAATCTTGTCCCTGACATCCTTGGAGAGCTCTTTGGTCTTGGCCATGGTGGAGAGTTTGGAATCTGATTGATTGATTTCTTCTGTGAACAGGTGTCTTTTATACAGGTAACAAGCTGAGATTAGGAGCACTCCCTTTAAGAGTGTGCTCCTAATCTCAGCTCGTTAACTGTATAAAAGACACCTGGGAGCCAGAAATCTTTATAATTGAGAGGGGGTCAAATACTTATTTCCCTCATTAAATGCAAATCAATTTATAACATTTTTTACATGCGCTTTTCTGGATTTTGTTGTTGTTATTCTGTCTCTCACTGTTCAAATATACCTACCATTAAAATTATAGACTGATCATTTCTTTGTCAGTGGGCAAACGTACAAAATCAACAGGGGATCAAATACTTTTTTCCCTCACTGTAGATGGAAACAGATGGGAGATTAATGCACTTTGTATTGCCATCTCCTGGCTAGCCAAGGTAAGGCGACCCAACCGCCATGCCTGCGAGCACGGGCCACGGGCGTAGTGTGCATGTGTACTGCGTGTGTGTGCCGCGTGTGTGTGCCGCGCGTGTGTGTCGCGCGTGTGTGCCGCGTGTGTGTGCCGCGCGTGTGTGCCGCGCGTGTGTGCCGCGCGTGCGTGCCGCGCGTGTGTGCCGCGCGTGTGTGCCGCGCGTGTGTGCCGCGCGTGCCGTCCCCTCTCACCTTGATCGGCGTCAGGTGCTGGAACTGGCGGTGAGGGTGAACGATGGTGCGCAGTGGCGTGCTCCAGTCAGAGCAGCCGTACACGCGGATCTGGTCGTACTGGTCGGTGGTGAGCAGCCTGGCGCCGTCCACAGGGCTGAAGTACGCTGCGCACGGCACAGGCCAACGGCGGCGGCGGCACCCGGCCGGCAGCGTCACGTGGTGAGATCAACGCGAGGCAGCATTACACCACCAATCACTCCAAACTAAACTAACTCAAAACTACTTTTATTGAACCAGGTAAGGCCCACTGAGCTATGTAGCTCTTTTTCAGAAGCGACCTGGCCACAAATGATAGCTCAACAAAGCGGCTTAGTGCGTGGACATTTATCGCAGCCAAATTACTCCAACCCGCATGTTGATTCTAAATGTGGAGGAAAGAACCGGAGGACCAGAGAAAAATCCACGTGACCACGAGGAGAACAAATATACAGCAGGCATCAGGGTCGGGATCAAAACCACAACCTCCTGCATACCAGTCGAGGTAGTTAACATCTTGCTGCCGTGGTGCCACCAAGTGGCGGTGATATTATCACGGTGCTTATGCCAGGCTAGGTGCGTGCGTGAGCGTGTGCCCCAAATCCGACGAACCGAGTTTCATTCCCGCTCACGGCCAACACCAGTGAAGATTATCTGAACCGGTCCTGGGCCTTCTCCCCTAGGTCGACTCAGCCTCAAATGAGTACCTGGTGCGGCTTGTAAACATCGCCACTGGGGAGACAAAGGCGGTCGGGCGTGGTGTTGGCCACCCACCCCCTCGTGTGCCGTGCCAGCCTTCATAGGTACTACTCGCTAACAGTACTTGCCCCAACAGTCTGTTAAGGCTACACGGGGAATGTTTGTCTTCACGTGTAAGTGTGCGAGTGTGTGCGCCCACCGGAGTTGACGGGCTTGTCGTGAGGCAGCGTGTACAGGCAGCTCTTGTCGTCCGTGATGGCACGGAGGTCCCACAGCTTCACGCTCTGGTCCACGGAGGCGCTGGCCAGCAGCCACTCGCAGTGCGGGTGGAACTCCACGTGGGTCACCTTCTTCTTGTGGAGTCTCAGCCTCCAAATCTTAAAGCAAATTATTATTATTATCAGTGCACCGAGTCTCAAGACTCGGAAGGTCCTGCAAAGTCTTTGCCAAAAGCCTAAAATATGAAAAGCCTACGTGTTAAACCTACATGGTCGTTGATCATTATTATTCTTAAGGAGGTACCTTATTCTGTACGGTATCTTACTGTGTACGCACACACACACGTGTACACGCACGCACGGGCTCATGTTGGTGCTGCTGTGTGTAATCCCAATTGAGTAAGTTGCAGGTACATTTTTCAACATTGAGATGTTTGGCCAATACCGGTTTCAATGCTTCATTATTTTTAACTAAGGGCGGATACTGGAGATCCCGGAAGAGACCCACGCAGAACAGGGGGGAAACGTAAACCCCCTCCACGTAGAAAAGTGCCCGAGTCGGGAATTGAAAACCCAGGCGTTTTTTGATTTGAGGCACGAGTGTTACCACTGCACCACCACCCTGCCGCCCTAAAGTATAACATTGCACACCAAGACGCGACACGCGTTCAAGTGGGCTGCACCCGTATTAAGTCACAAGTAGAATATTGCACCTCAGTTATATCGAACCCCTGAAGTGCTGAGTAACATCGTACTCCATTCGCACACTTCACACGTACACTTCTCACTACTTATCTTTACCGACCCCAGGAGGAAGGAAGCTTGGGTTGCTGGAGCTGTGACGTGGCTACCGGACGGGGCTATGGGGCTGCGCAAAGGCGCATGGCGAGAGAGATGGGCGGGCGGGACTGCGTGTGATGTGGGAGATGGTGGTGGCGAGCGGTGGCGCAGTGGTTAGCGTGCTGCGCGATGATTTTCTCAAGCGGTCCTGGGCCTCCCCTAGGTTGACATGAGTACCTGGTGTGGTGTGTAAACATCTGCACCGGGAAACAAAGACGGCCGGGCGTGGTGCTTGCCACCAACTCCCTCGTGTGCCATATCGGCCTTAGCACTTGCTCCAACAGTCTGTTAAGGCTACAGGGGCGGCAGACTTTGTCTTTGCATTGACAGCGCCAAAAAAAACCATGTGGAGCTCACCGGAGTGCCTTCGAGGCCACACATCTCCAGGTGACCGAGGTTGTCTCCGATAGCCAGGGCCTGACGTGGCACGGACACATCCACGCTGCAGTACCAGCAGCTGCGGCAGCGAGAGGCGCAGGACAGCAGCGGCGTTAGCGCGCTGCGCACGAGCAAGAACCAACGCATGGAGGACTCGCCGCGTCGGGCAGTAGCGCAACGCCCGTCGTAGTGGGAGACCTCGCTCTACCAGAAGGTGCCCAGGCGTGTCCTGTGAGGGTTACTGTGCATCTTATATATTACAGTTATACCAAGGTGTCGAGTAATGCGTCAGCCGCAGAGCCAGGACAGGGTGAAACGATGCTGATGTGAAGTCCTGCTAAGACGAGGGTATACATAAAGAAAGAGATCACCAAGGTGATCATTCTCCAATCGTAGTGATTTCATTTCCGGACGTTACGAGATTCAGAGTTACGGCAGTTCCAACTGCAACAATGAACGATTTCAAGACGCAGGCGTGGACTGCGAGCCCAGCGCGTGTGCGCGCGAGACGCTGCGCCCTGCCGAGGCACGACGCGTCACCGCGAGGTGTGTGCGCAGAGCCGTGCGGTGGCGCCGAGTTGATGCCCCCGGGTTGAGTGCCTGTGCCAGGACACGCCGCCGCGTAGACAGCGAAGACTGAGGCATGGGCTGGCGTCTCGCCACACCCCAACCGTCGCGTTGGGCGTCGTACCTGTAGTCGTGGTGCCGGTGCACGCACTGCGGCGCGTTGACGACGACGTGGCCCCGTGGCCCTGCGCGCCCCTCCACGTCGCGCAGCAGCAGCGAGCCGTCCCCAGACACCACGAACACGCGGGCCGCATCGCGCGGGTCGAACAGCATACCGCCCACCGCGTCTCCTGGTCCGTTCTGCGGTGTGACACACGCACGTGCGCAAAGATCCCCCGTGTAGCCATAGCAGATCTTTGGGGCAAGTACTGTTATCGTGTAGCGCCTATGAAGACAAGGAAATGGGTAGCCAGCACCATGCCCGACCACCTTTGTCTCCCCAGTGGCGATGTTTACACACCGCACCAGGTAGTTATTTGAAGCCGAGTTGACCTCGGGGAGGCCCAGGACCGGTTCAGATAATTGCCACTGGTATTGGCCGTGAGTGGGAATCGAACTCGGGTCGCTGGGTTCGGAGCGTAGCACAGATACTTGGCACCTTGGTCACACAGCACCGTAGCAAGGCACCCATCTCCTCCACGTGGGCTGAATAATTACTTTATTAGTATTGCACTTGTTTACCCAGCAAAGCCTCTCTGGGGGGTCCTTCCACATTTTCTCAGGAGTGGGCGATGTTGCTGCTGCTACACCGTGTTATCCCAATTGAGTAATTTGCAGATCCTTTTTCAGCATTGGGATGTTTGGCTCATAGCATTTGGATCGAGTGGGAGGAAACCGGTGAACCCAGAGGAAGCCCATGCACAGCAGGGGAGAACATACAAACTCCACACAGAAAGGCGCCCCGAGTCGGGAAATGAACCCAGGCTCTCCTTGCCGTGAGGCACGCCGAGCGTCACCGCTGCGTAGCCACCCGGCCATGACAAACACGCCTGTGAAGCGCATTGGCGAACCGCGCTCCGCTGGCGGATCGCGGGCGTGCGGAACGCACCCCGAGGAGGAGCGAGAGGGGCTCCAGAGCACGGTGGTCCCACAGAAGGACATCGCCGCCCTTGGAGGCCACAGCGAGCGTGCCGGGCCGCGACGGGTGCCACGCCAGGCAGGTGACGCGCCGGTCAAACGGGCTGACCTTCCGCATCACGCCATAGCGCGCCACCGAGCACGCGGACTGTCGCTTCAGGATCTGGTCGCACGACGACACGGGTGGCACGGAGAGAGGGGAGAGAGGGGAGTCGGGAAAGAGCGAGGAGAGTGGGGGCGGTCGCTCGTGCTGGGGGTGGCGCACGAGCGAGCATGCAATTGCAGGGCTGCACCTTTATCTCTTACCCTCGGTTATGTGTCATTATCGTCATGGCTACGAGGTGTTATTTTAAGGTGTAATGGGATAAGAACACCTCCGATCCATTGCCGCCACTGTGGTGGTGGAGCACGTCCATACGTAGGGAATTCAAACCGGAAATCAACTTCAATATTTATGAACCGATGATGAAGAAAATAACAGGCTTTACCCTTTCCGGCAAGAATACAGGTGTAATGATGTTCAAACACCACATGTGCTTGTGGTAAAACATGAAAACTTGCATGTATAGCCTTAAACGTTTGTTTGCATGTTTTACCACAAAGCATGTGTGGTTAATGCAGACTTGATGCCTTGTGATGGGTGCCTATTTGTTGTTTGAAAATCTTAACACCTCCTGTTTTCTTGCCAGAAAGGGTAAAGCCTATTCTTTTTTCATCATCTTGATACCGGCTACAAAAGTGTCCCATATATTATTTATGAACCGGCCTCACCACCCCCAATCATGCCGTGCTCGCGCACCACGAACTCCCTTGTAGAACAGCCGTGCCACCGGTCAAACACGATCGTCGTCAGCGCAACAAATCAAATGAGCTCAAGAATGGAACCCCGTGCATGTCGGGCAGTGGGGCGTTCCCCCGGCGCACCTGCTGCAGTCGGCCCGGGCCCCACAGGCCGAGCGGCCCTTGGCTCGCCAGCTGTACGACGCCGCGGCACGCCCAGGACGCGGCGGCCTTGCGCCCTCCGAGCGGCACTGAGCCAGCCGGAAAAACACACAAACACGCATCAACAACAACAAGCGCCATTCCCAACTCAGTGCCGGTGACGTCACCACACACACACAAAAGACAAAGATCCCCCAGTATAGCCTTAACAGACTGTTGAGGTAAGTGCTGTTAGTGAGCACCTACGAAGGCCGGAACGGCAAATGAGGGGGTGGGTGGTCAGCACCACGCCCGCCCACCTCCGTCTCACTCGTGGTAACGTTTTTACATATCACACTCGCTACTCAATTGAGGCCCAGGACCGGGTTCAGATAATCGTCACTGTGTTGGCCGCGAGCGGGAAGCGAACTTGTGTCGTTGGATTCCTCGTGCTAACCGTTCCACTACCGCTCCTCAAACACAAACACACAGTCCTGGACTACAGGCCACGTGCGCAGCCACCACCGCACGGCTGGTCACTGACATTGCCTGACTGCGATGCGAACGATCGCTCTGCGTTGAGTAATATCTGGGGGACGATTACATCACAAACGCGCCACCCACGAGATTTGTGGCGGGGCGATGGAATGCAGCGGTGGAGAGGGGACGCCGGGGGAGCGGGGCCGCTCACCACAGGCGGCCTCCCCCCCGGCTCCACCCTGCGGCGCCGTCCTCTTTCCCTTCCTCCTGCCCCCACTCCGTGTGCCTCCAGACTCCCGCTCCCGATCCACTCTGGGCCCCGGCGCCATCTGCAGGGCAGCAAAACGGCAGCGCCGACACACGTTGACCACAAAACTTCATTCCTAAAGAACAGCAATCCCTTGCCAACCACGGACTTGACAACTGCGGAATTCATGTACACACGGTTTATTATCTATGAACCAATTTACCAAACGCAGCCTGAAAATTTTGAGTATCCACGGGTAAGCACGGATCCTCAACACGCAGTTACAAATTTGGCGGGGCCGCGGTTCTCCTCCGCGCCACTGCGTAGCTCATCACGTAGACTGTGCCGCATCGCAACCACCCTCACTTTTTATAAAGAACCAGCACCACCGATCCAGCCAGCAGCGCCACTGTTCCTGCCTCCTCACCTGCCCACTCACCTGCCATTGATGACCCGGAGAAAGAGCGGAGGGTGGGCTGAGCCCCTCCTCCTTCTCACCACCCCTTCCCCCATCATCTCATCGTCATCATCGTTCTAATCATGGACTTCGACCATATATATTAAAGGTAAGTAATGTTAATTTAATCCATAATATAGGTTTTTTTTGGGTTGGTTCGCGTAAATATACATGTGTCGTTAAACCCGCCACCACCCCACACGGCCAATTAGTAAGGTTTGTCACGTAAACAGAACGTGGCAATTCGTTACTAGTGCAGCACACCGGTGTGTTGGGGAGAAAATACACAACATTTACAACCGTGGATTTGCCTACCACGGCCTTTCCCATTACTTTACTGCATTGCTACTATGACGCTTGTTTACCCAGGAAAGCCTCGCTGAGATGTGGCGAGATGTTAACTACCTCGCCTGGTATACAGGAGATCGTGGGTTTGATCCCGACCCTGACGCCTGCTGTATATTTGGAGTTTGCGTGTCTAACTCCCCGTAGTGGTGTGGATTTTTCTCTGGGTCGTCCGGTTTTTCCCTCCACATGTAGAATCAAAATGCGTGTAGAGTATTTGGCTGCTATAGATTTTCACATAAGCCAATTTGTTGAGCTATCATTTGTGGCCAGGCCGCTTCTGAAAAAGAGCAGTATAGCTCAGTGGGCCTTAACTGTTAAAATTAACAATAGTTTAGTTTTACTCTTTTTTTCAGAGGGCCATGCCCAAGTTTTCGCCGGCCCATGCTGGCGGGGCCATGTCGCTCTGCTGGCCTGGGAACGCCTGGGAATTCCCCAGGAAGAGCTAGAGTCTGTGTATAGTAGTGTAGTGTATAGTAGTGTATAGTAGTGTATAGTTACGTATAGTAGTATAGTGTATACACCATTGGAACCTCATTTGCCAGTAAAAATATAATTGGTTTTTTACCCTTCTATCTGGCAACAAAACTGACACCTTTTTTTTACAAGGAGTCATGCCAAAAGGCCTTTTGGCGTCATCTGGTCCAACCCATGTGAGACTAGGCTCTAAGGAAAGCTGTCTCGGGTGTGGACCAATCAACTTCAAGGAAGTGCACATTATCAGAGTTATGTTTTTTGTTTGCATTATGACTGCAGGTATTGTGGTCTATGTAAACATGACTCCTTGTAAAAAAAGGTGTCAGATAAAAGGGTAAAAAAACAATTATCATAGTATAATGTAGTGTAGTAGTGTATAGTGTAGTGTATAGTAGTGTATAGTGTAGTAGTGTAATAGTGTATAGTGTAGTAGTGTATAGTGTAGTAGTGTATAGTAGTGTAGTGTATAGTGTAGTGTATAGTGGTGTATAGTAGTGTAGTGTATAGTGGTGTATAGTAGTGTAGTGTATAGTAGTGATTAGTAGTGTAGTGTATAGTGTAGTGTATAGTGGTGTATAGTAGTGTAGTGTATAGTAGTGTAGTGTATAGTAGTGTAGTGTATAGTAGTGTATAGTGTAGTGTATAGTGTATAGTGGTGTATAGTAGTGTATAGTGGTGTAGTTTATAGTAGTGTGTAGTGTAGTGTATAGTGGTGTATAGTAGTGTATAGTAGTGATTAGTAGTGTAGTGTATAGTAGTGATTAGTAGTGTAGTGTATAGTAGTGTAGTGTATAGTAGTGTAGTGTATAGTAGTGTAGTGTATAGTGTAGTAGTGTATAGTGTAGTAGTGTATAGTGTAGTAGTGTATAGTGTAGTGTAGTAGTGTATAATGAAGTGTTGCTGGAGTGTGTGGCCAGGGAGAGGGAGGTGTGGACCGCCACTACTCAACACGCTGCCGCCGCGACCCTCACCGGGACAAGCGGCCTGAGAGACGAACTAGTATAGTGTATAGTGTATAGTAGTGTAGTGTATAGTAGTGTATAGTGTAGTGTATAGTAGTGTATAGTGTAGTGTATAGTAGTGTAGTGTATAGTAGTGTATAGTGTAGTGTATAGTAGTGTAGTAGTGTATAGTAGTGTAGTGTATAGTGTAGTAGTGTATAGTGTATAGTAGTGTATAGTGTATAGTAGTGTATAGTGTATAGTAGTGTATAGTGTATAGTAGTGTATAGTGTATAGTAGTGTATAGTGTATAGTAGTGTATAGTGTAGTAGTATATAATGTAGTAGTGTATAGTAGTGTAGTGTATAGTAGTGTAGTGTATAGTGTATAGTAGTGTATAGTGTATAGTAGTGTAGTGTATAGTGTAGTAGTGTATAGTGTAGTAGTGTATAGTGTAGTAGTGTATAGTAGTGTAGTGTATAGTGTAGTAGTGTATAGTGTAGTAGTGTATAGTGTATAGTAGTGTATAGTGTATAGTAGTGTATAGTGTATAGTAGTGTATAGTGTATAGTAGTGTATAGTGTATAGTAGTGTATAGTGTATAGTAGTGTATAGTGTAGTAGTATATAGTGTAGTAGTGTATAATGTAGTAGTGTATAGTAGTGTAGTGTATAGTAGTGTAGTGTATAGTGTATAGTAGTGTAGTGTATAGTAGTGTAGTGTATAGTGTAGTAGTGTATAGTGTAGTAGTGTATAGTGTAGTAGTGTATAGTGTATAGTAGTGTAGTGTATAGTGTATAGTAGTGTAGTGTATAGTAGTGTAGTGTATAGTAGTGTAGTGTATAGTGTAGTAGTGTATAGACTGAGAGACGAACTAACGAACGACCCCCCAATCGTTGCACGTTAAAACTTCCTTCGCACCGTACATTGCCAACCGTGCTTGATCAACACCAAAGCCGTGAGGAAAAGTGAGAGTGGGTCTTGGGCAGGCCGCGTTATACGGGGACACCGAGGGTCGAGACTAACAACGGAATGGCGTTGCAAGTGCGCGATTATCGTAGTAGCAAAAGTAACTACTGTACACGTGTAGCGGCTACTACACGTGTAGCGGCTGTAGCTGCTACAAAGGCTACGGGCCCCGCCCTTTCAAGGGCCCCACGCTAAATGCTTTCAAGCTATCAATTGCGGTTCAGTGATTCTGCACTTGCTCTATTACTATAGTACTATACCGCCTTCAACTTTTATGAACGACTGGGTGTTTAAGGTTAGCGATTTGTCGTATTATCCGGCTGTATAGCAAATGAAATGATACACTTACTTCACTGTACAAGTTTAAAACATCAGTGTTTTAATATTTACGTGTTTTTTATTATTAATTTAGGGCCCCTTTATAACAACAGACGCGCCAGGCCCCGCACCGAGCACATGGCAAGGCAGCGGGGAGGCCTCGTCGTGTACCTGTTTGCCGAACTTCTTTCGCACCGCACGTCGCCCAGCGTGCACGTCGGAGGTGTGGGGGGGGGGGTGACAAACTAAACAAACAGCGGCGTCTTCATCCAGCGGCGGAGTGATCAAGGCGGGTGGCGGTGACGGCAGGCGGAGAGAGTCGCGTGAGAGGGAGAGAGGCAGCCGACTTCACCTCCTGCTCCTCCTCCTCGCTGGCGGTGCCCCGCGTGGCGGCAGCGGAGGCTGTGGGCTGGCAGCCCGTAGCGCCCCCCACTCGCACAGAGCCCCCCACTCGCACAGAGCCCCCCACTCGCACAGAGCCACCCACTCGCACAGAGCCACCCACTCGCACAGAGCCCCCCACTCGCACAGAGCCACCCACTCGCACAGAGCCCCCCACTCGAGGCAGCGCGGCTCCTCCTCGCGTTACACAAGCACCGTGGACTTGCACAACCACCACCACCACACACGGTGAGCACGTGGCCGTCCCCCACCACAACAACAATCACGCACGTGGCCGTCCCCCACAGCGGGCTGTGGCAGTGATGACGTAGCAGATGTTAATGACGATGACGTCGACGATGTTAATGACGATGACGTTGACAATGTTAATGACGTTGACGATGTTAATGACGATGACGTAGACGATGTTAATGACGATGACGTCGACGATGTTAATGACGATGACGTTGACAATGTTAATGACGTTGACGATGTTAATGACGATGACGTTGACAATGTTAATGACGTTGACGATGTTAATGACGATGACGTAGACGATGTTGATGACATTGACGATGTTAATGACGATGACGTTAAAAATGTTAATGACGTTGGCGATGTTAATGACGATGACGTTGACGATGTTGATGACATTGACGATGTTAATGACGATGACGTTGACGATGTTAATGACGATGACGTAGACGATGTTGATGACATTGACGATATTAATGACGATGACGTAGACGATGTTAATGACGATGACGTAGACGATGTTGATGACATTGACGATATTAATGACGATGACGTTGACAATGTTAATGACGTTGACGATGTTAATGACGATGACGTAGACGATGTTGATGACATTGACGATGTTAATGACGATGACGTAGACGATGTTGATGACATTGACGATATTAATGACGATGACGTTGACGATGTTAATGACGATGACGTAGACGATGTTGATGACATTGACGATATTAATGACGATAACGTTGACAGTGTTAATGACGATGACGTAACGATGTTGATGACAATGACAGTGTTAATGACGATGACGTAACGATGTTGATGACGATGCATCCGGCGAGTGACGTCATCGCCGAGACACGCTGCCCGGATTCGCACGCGGGGGCTGCCACTGGGGCTGGGAGCCGCGCTGCCGATCCGCTGCGGGCTGCTGCGGGG